CGACGGATTGTAAGAAGAAGAGGTTCACGACGGGGGTGAGTATGGCGAAGGTGGAGGAGAGGGTGACGGAGATCGGAGGAGAATTGGGGTACAGAGTGGAGAAAGGGAAGAGTGGCGCCATTGGATTGGGGAAGGGGAGGATGATTTTGTTCATGGAAATTGTGCAGATTACAACAAATCTGTTGATGGTGGAGGTGAAGGTAGCTGAATCGAAGATGGAGTTTGAGAGGACGCATTGGGGAGATTTGAAAGCCAAGTTGCAGGACATTGTTGTTTCTTGGCACACCAATGAGGCTATGTGATAACATAACACAGGGATTTTCTGATTCTTTTTGGAATGGTTTTTCRGGGCGGGCGGCCGAGCCATGCCGGGGCTTGGCCGTGTTCGGGGGAGTTGTTTAACTTGTTTATATGTTTGTGAATTTTAGCTGACTGAGGGACAGGAAGAACATGGATTCTTTTCTATGTACATTGAGAAATTCAATTCTAAGACTGCACTTTCTGAATATAATTCTTCAGGGTTTGTTTTTTTTCTCTCTCTCGATTTGCTTGTTCTGAACCTGGATGAAGATGAAGCACAACAAATTAAGAATACAGACATGTTAAAAAAAATTGTTCTTTTTGTTTGGAAACTGCATGAATGATTAATCTTGGGAAGTTCATTTCAGAAAAGAAAGAAAACCCACTGTGGTTGAAGGAAAACTTCAACCCAATCTCGAGACAAGATGCAAAATGAGCAATATTTCCATACAAATCAAGCATATTTCACATGGAACTACAAGTTAGATTATACAAACTTGTACGACTTTCCCTTTTGATTGGTTGTATAAATATTTTTACATGATAATACCTTCCATTCTGCAATCAATGGGGAAAAAAGTTGCATCTGCACGTGAAGAACACCAAAGGCTAGCCTGCATTTGACTTTATATCTCGGCTTGGGTTGTTTTCATACTAACTACTCCCAAGATCTCAGATATTTTGGCCGAACTTCCTCTTGATGTTGTAATGTGTCGAATTCGAGGTCGGTCCTCCATGAGCTTTGAATTTGCCTTCGAGTTCAGGTAAGATAATTTGGGGCAACATTAACTCAGGTTGGTTCTGTCCCATGGGGGCTTAGTAGAATAACTACAGATCACCCATAACATTCATTCCAACAACACCAGACAGAACCGAAACCCACGCCTGTAATCCGCTTTGAGGATCCTTTTTTGCTGTTACTTCAAGCTTGCTGACTGCCTGCTTTGAAACTCCACATTTTAACAAGACAGCCCCGAGCGATTTGTAGGTGCATTCATCAGGTTGAATGGCAGCTTTCATCATCTCTTCGAATATTCCAACCGCCTCCTTGAATCGTCCATCCATTGCGTATAAACCAATCACGTTATTAAAGCTCAACAAATCTGTTAAAAGTCCCTGTTCCTTCATCTGTCTAGCAATACAAATGGCTTCCTCAATTCTTCCAATTTTCTTGTACATGCACAACATCATAGCAAAAGTAAACTCATTTGCTTCTCCCTTTCTCTTCAAGCTCCCAAAAATCTCTTCGGCCTCTTTGACCATTGAACGTTCGCTATAGAGGTCAATCATACAATTCGAAGAATATATAGCTGGACCATCCTCTGTTTGTTGAAGCATTTTGTATGCTTCCTGTGCTTCTTTGAGGTAGCCAACTTTGGTATAGAGTTTTATCAAGGAGTTGTATATAACCATGTTCCCAGGCAAACCTGCACGTTTCATCGCATCGACGTAAGTAATAGCTTCTCTAACACTTCCAGTGTCAGCAAAAGCATTGATCAGCACCCCATAAACAACAATGTCGGGCTGCACACCATGTTCAATCATCTCTCTATACAGTTGATCTGCCATTTCCAAGTGACCCAATTTTGAAAAGCTCGATATAACCACTGAATACAGAATGCAATCACTTACCAATCCTGCTGACTGCATCTTCTTCAGATAAGAGAGTGCCATGGCCGGCATATCCGCACCAGACAATATCTGAATCAGAGAACTATAGCTACATTTATCAGGAGTGACACCATTACTCTCCATACTATCAAATAATTTTTGTSCTTTAGCATAATCCTTTACCACACCATAGGCTTTAATCAACACATTGAACTCAAGGACAGTGAGCTTCTTCTCGTCTTGGCAGCTAACAAAAACTCTCTCTGCTTCTAAAATGTGTCCACGCTCTCCATATGCATCAATATTGGCAGAATAGCACTCAGAGCTCATATTCCCTGTAAGATGAAATCTCCAGAACCATGACCATGACTTCTCAAGCATTCCTGCATCAATATACATCCGGGTCAGAGCAGATTGGGTGAATTCATCTATCTCAAAGCCCCTTTCATCCATTTCCTTTACGAGCTTTTCAGCCTCCGCAACCATATTCCGTATAGAGTAAGCATACAAAAGAGTACGGTAACTAACAATATCCGGCTGAAGGCAAGCCTCCTTCATCTTTGCAAAATAGTTTGAAGCTAAGTCAATATCATCATGTTTAGCATGAAGAGAAATGAGGATATTATATGTTCTTGTATCGGGTGGGCATCGGAGCTCCTCCATCTTCTGCATCAGAAAATTAACTTCTTTAAACTTTCCATGGTTGCCACAAATGTGAATCATAGTATTGAAAGTCACAGTTGTCGGGGCAACCCCTTCCTTAAGCATATTTTTGAAAGTTGTAGAGGCTTCTTGAAGCTGTCCAGCCTTCCCATATGTGTCAATCAATGTATTATATGTATAGGTACTCAAACAAACATGAGGAGGGAGCAGAGAACTCTCAACTTTAACAGAAGCTACTTTGCTGTTATTGTTACTCCCACATATCACTGATTTACCTGATGACCACTTCTTGAAGAAATTTTCGGCCTTCTGAAACTCGCCTGCCTTCTTGTACAATTGAACAACAATCCCCATGGTAACCTCATCAGGCTCCATTCCCTGTTCATTCATCCTCTCAAGCCAAACCAACGCTTCTTCCTTAAACCCTCCTTTGCTATAAACATCAATCAATGTCCCATAAGTTGAATTTATTGGCTTAATCCCCTTATCATTCATCTCCACCCACAAACTCTCAACCAGCCTCCACTTCTGCGCCTTCCCAAGAATCCTAAGTACAATATTGTAGTGAATCACATTCACTTCATAGCAACCTGCCATCTTAAACCACTCAAAAATYTCCAAAGCCCTCTCCCAATTGCTCTGCTCCTTCAAGATTATACTCCTTTCCTTGTTATTAAGCTTATCTTTCCAAGGCTTCAGAGCTTCATCCAAGTCACTGACCTCATCCAGAGCCTGCAAAATCGCCGGTATGCATCCACCATACGACAGCCATTTCGTCGAACACTTGGGCTGCACTTTTTCCACCGACCCATTTCCATCATCCAGCACATCCTTATTCACCACAACCCGATTACCCAAACGGCGATTCCTTCTCTGGACTTCCCGTTCCTCCATTTTACTTGGTTTTTTCAACCCAGTTTCCTGTCGGCGACCACCACTACCACCATTATCACGAGTGTATTTTTGAACTCCACCCAATTTCTTCAAATATCTGTTGGGAGACTCGGGAATCCACCAGTCTTTGGGTTTCTTGGAAATGGGGACGAGATTATCTGGGGGGGAAAGTGAGACTCCTACACTGGGCGACCTCATAGTACCCAGTCCGTGGAAGCAGGGCGTATCCAAATACTGCAGCTTCACAAACATATTTACGAGAAAACTAGATGCTCAAGTCAATCGAATGGAGCAGAGATGGTGAAATTCAGCTTCTTGGGTTGTTCTTGGAGTTGATTGATATGAGAATTGATTCATCAAGACGGGCTGATGAACTAAAAAAGCGCGAGAATGGTCTCTGATTATCTGAAGAATGGACGAAAGATAATAAGCGAGGGAAATGAGACTTCCGCTTTCTTCCTTCTTGTCGGGTTAATGGTTGGCCTTCTATTTTTATTACTATTATTTCTTTTTTTTTTTTAAGATTAAACTGTGTTTTTAATTACAAATTTTCACGGTTGTGTGAAAATATTCCATTTAAATATTGTATTTAATTTATAAAATTTAATAGCCTTGTGATTCGTGAGTGATATATATATTTAGTGTAGTGAACAATTGATATAAAGTTGATATAAACTAACGTAGTGCCATGTTGATGTAGTCAAATTATTTTTACTCYGACTTGAGATTTATATGTTACACGAATGTGAATGCATGGAGACAAAAAATATAAGTTATATATTTTTGCGTAGAAATRTATTTCAAATTTTATTTTGATTGCTGATTTGACAATATTTTATTTCCGTTCTTGAAATTTTATAAAAAATCATTTTGATCCTATCATAATTTTTTTTGTACTGTAYTTAAAAAAAGCGAGAGCTCATCTCAAATGAGGAGGCCAACAATCCTCATTCAAATGGTAGCATTGCCTAGTGAATGGACAAATTGATCTCATATTAATGGAGACATTGTTCTAGACATAGTTGTAGCAATGAAAGAGACATCCTTCTTATAAAATAAGGAGCTTAAGATCATCGTCGGGATAAGTGAGCTCTTCCATTATTTAGTTCTATTTACGTCAACTCTAGTTTGACAAGTACTACGATGTACCGTTCTTTAGTAGGTACCTTTTTTAGTTCAATAATTATAGGATAAAAGATTAAACCATCAATTTTTTAGATGATAAAAAGTATTTTATTTACTAAATTGTGCTCTTTAATCTTTCTCACTTCTCCTTCAATATCATAATTAAGAAAGAGAACTCTTATCTTATATACCATGAACGAGTCTAGAATTCCTTGTCCGAAGATCAAGGTGGACGATGGAGGAAGGAAATACGACTCACTTGCARTACTTGYTGAACCACACACCAATGTTGAGGAAGCTTTCGAAATCCGATCGTGGCCTGATACAGAAAACTCACACGAATCAACCTAAAATAAYCGGGATATTTAAGAACAGTTCCCTATTTTCAAAACGTTGTAATGAAATTGTGACAATCATGAACCTATGGATAGTTTATTTCAAATGTTACAATAATCTTAATCTTTTATGACCCGAACATTGTTCTTAAAAACAAACGTGTTTCCAAAATCAGAAACTAATTATAAAATGAGATCCAAACTTGCGAGAATGTGAAAGTAAGCAGATGTGGGACCTGTCAATTGAATAATTATCATCTGAAAACATGATCACTTTGACCTCAACTCATTTCTCCTTCAACGCTTGTGCAAACTGCATATTATTGCATAACCATCATAAACTTATAGTATYTTTTGACATAATTTTCAGAATAGTAAGAGATTCAAAGAGTCCACGTCCGACGCAATTTATTGTCATTGTGCAATTATTCATAGTGATGAACAAGAGCAACGCCACAACCACTTTATAGGTCACAGAAACAAGTCGAAATGATGTAGAATTTAATAGAATGTGTTATATCTTACTTGCAACCCATTTGAAAATGGAACACGAAACTGAAATGAGACACAAGATTTCAACRGGGAACATCCACTCAAAAAGAGAAATTTTATTAAGATATGTTGAGAAAATACGTGAAGCTAACAATWYWYAAACAGTTAAACTTTTATGATTTGTAAAGTTASGTATTTTCTAACATGTCAAAAAATATTGTTTTAAGTCAGAAAAGCAGGTCATTTGAGCCCATTGAAAAACTTGTTAGGTTAAATTGGTCAATTTCCTCACCTCTTAGGTATGCGAAATATATTCTACTTTTGTTTTATACGTCTCAAGTATTTCGATCCGAGCTGGATCATTTTCACCGTGGCGCGTGCTAGGAGAAGTAGGCTGTGGCCGTGTACTTTCAACAGACCCACTACAATACCACTTTAACGGCCCAATTTCAGTTCTTGGCCCAAAACTACCAAGCCCAATATTTTAGCCCTATTTCCTTATCCTTTTGGTTTATAATTTTAAAAATTTTAGAACCTGTTTTATTTATCATAYCTTTACATAGAAATATAGTTCGGATTTTTTTTTTGTGGCTGAATTTTGACATTTATTTTATTTGAAATATTTTATTTTTGTCCTCCAATTTTTAAAAATCCATTTTTGATCTTATCRTAACCTTTTTTATTGCATTGAAAGAAAAAAAAAGGCAAGTGAGATGGCTCATTTTAAATAAGGAGGCCAGCAATCCTCATTGGAATAGTAGCTTTGCCTAGTGGTTGGGCAAATTCATCTCATACTAATGTAGAATCAATAATGGCTTTCTTTTCCAAATACTAGGTCGTTGTTACTGATAGAATAGACATAATTGTAAGAGTGAAGTAGACATAGTTCTTGTAAAATAAAAGCTGGAGATTGCAATCGAGATAAGTAAGCTCTCTCGTGATTTAATTATATTGGAAACTAACTCTAGTTTGACAAGTACTACATTAATTATTAGTTATTCTTTCACTAGTACTCTTACTTTTTTTAAGAGTAATTGACACTAATCTCATATCAAGAGGTAAGTTTGAATTTTCCACCCCACTTGTACTCAAAAAGAAAAAAAAAATATTTTTTCTATTTTCTTTTTAGTTGAATAATTATAGGATAGAAGATGAAACCACCAACTTTTAGGATGGTAAAAAGTACTTTAACGTACTAATTTATGCTTAGATTGGCTTATAATTTCTCGTAAATCTTAGGTCATTTCTCCTTCAACAAAGCAAGTCAATTTGGGCAACCAAAAACCAATAGGAATGTATACCACTATTTTGAAGGTTGAAATGATAAAAAGGGTAAACATATAGTCATTTTATTAAGAATGAGTGGCTTTATATCATGAACGAGAGTACAGAATTCTTTGTTTGAAGATCAAGGCGAACGACAGAGGAAGGAAATGCCACTCACTTGCAGTACTTCTTGAACCACACACCAATGTTGAGGAAGCTTTCAAAATCCGATTGTGGCCTAATACAGAGAAACCACACTAATCAGCCTAAAATAATCGGCATAATTTTTAGCATAATTTAGAGGATGTAGAGAATAGTTTCCTATTTTTAAAATGTTGTTATTGAAATTGCAAAAATCATTCTTTCAAATGTAACAAAATCTTAACCTTTCACAGAGGATCATGTTTGTTAAAGATCTCACGTCGAAAAGATTAGAGTTTAGGAGGCTTAATAATGTTTATAAATAGCTAGACTACTCCTCTCATTGCTAATTTAATTTTGAGATATGAATATAAAGATCCTTAGAAACAAATGTGTTTTCAAAATCAGAAACTATTCACAAAATGAGCTTCGAACAGAACAAATGCGAGAATGCGAAAGTAAGTAGATGTGGAACCTGTCAATGGGATGAATATCATCTGGAAACATGATCACTTTGACCTCAACTCCTTTCTCCTTCAACGCTCGTGCAAACTGCATATTATATATAACCATCCTAAGTATAACATTAAAGTATTTTTTGACATAATTTTCTGGTATAATAAGAAATTCAAAGAGTCCGAGATTGGACACAGTTTCTTGTTTTCGTGCGATAATTCTTGGTGATAAACATAACAACACCACAGTCACTTTATAGTCACAGAAATAAGTCAACCTGAGTATAGCTCAACTGATTGTAAAGCATATATTTTCAACCAAAAAATTGGGGGTTAGAACCCCATCGCACATGATGAAATAAAAAAATAAAAAATAAAAAATCATAGAAATAAGTCAAAAAGGACGTAGAATTTAATAGAATGTGTTACATCTTACTTGCAATCCATTTGAAAATGGAACACGAAGATCTTTAGCACCTAAAAGAAAAATGGTGGGTGCTTTAACCTGCAAAATCGAAATGAGACAGAAGATTTCAACGGAGAACATCCACTCAAAAAGAAAGAAATTTATTAAGGTATACTGAGAAAATACGTGAAGCTAGCAGTATTGATAAACAGGTCAAATATATATTTAAAAAAAACAGAGTTGTTGGTAAAATAATTCTCCAAATAAAGATACTTGGACTAAATAACAGTTCTATCTTCTGATTAAGATTGATTTATATCATATCTCACCACGTTTTAAGAAAGTTAAAAAAAAATATTGTTACTCACAAGACGAGGATCCTCCCTAAGAAGATCCTTCAATGAACGATGGATTCTTCAATAAAGTTCACAGAGCTTACAATTTTTCTTACAAAAAATAAATAAACAAAATTTAGTCCTCTGCACTATTAGATCAATTGACCAAAGCTTTTATGAGTGTTATTTTTTTCCAAGTTTAGCAAGAATTTTAAAACATCAATGTACCAATAAAGAAATAGATGGTTAGATTTTGATCTACGTACTTTTGAGACATGTAGAATGGGAGATTTGTTGTATAACTCGATTTGGTGCTCAGCAGATGGTGCTTCCGTGAAGTAATTCTTCCCCTCCCTTCCGTAACATTCCACATAACACCAATCAGGAATATCTGATGTGCCAACCATTAAAGCAAGGTTACACACAGGATTTCTTGCAGCAGCTGCCACAAATCTATCTGGTGCCTGCATCATTTTGAAAACAGAAGGGATTCAATTTATAAGGAAATTATTGCCTTCTTAGAACTCTATATGCCATAACTCCCAACATTAATGTGAGTTTAGGTGACTTTTTTCATAGAGGTGATTTATTTAAGCGTTGTTTTGAAAAGCACTAATTAATTGCTTCTCTTAAAAGCATTCTGAAAAAATTTTAAAGTATTTTTAAGAATTTCAAAAATCACTTTTGATAATCTAATAAAATACTAGGAAATTATTGAAAAGAGTTCTTATTGGACAAAAAGTATTTTTTAACCTTCGAAAAAGTAATATCAACTTACCCTAGGTAAAGGAGTAAGAACAATTAGAAGGTGTGATAGGGAAAAAATGCAAATCAAAATATCACCACATTAGTGGACCACGAAATGAACATGCATCGTGCACCGTCATATTTTCAAGTGTAGCTCGGGAGAGTTCAAATTTAAAAAAAAAAAAAGGGAAAATCATGGAAAGAATCAACAGATACAAAATCCTTTATCAATCACGCAGAATTAATCGAACATGAGAATTATTTTCAGAAAATGCAACATTAAAATTTTGTGTTAACTACTCGACCTGGCCAATCAAATGAGTTGTCAAAAAACCTCCATGAGAACCACCTAGAACTGCAACTTTAGATGGATTAGCAAGTCCCTTGTCGATAATGTGATCTAAAGCTGCAAGTACATCATTGACATCCTGAGAAAAAATAGATTAAAAAAATATTCTATTCAGTGACATCCGAAGAAAAACAGTCATCACGATAGCAGTAAAATGAAAATTCTCGAGGAAAAAAAAACGAATACCTAAATTTACTAAAACTAGTACCTGGGACCCAACTTTTCCGGGAAGAGATTGCAATGCGTCCTCACCGAAACCCAATGAACCTCTGAGATAACCATATCAAAGAAGCCAAAGAAAGGAAAGAACGCTCTTTATGTTGTGAGTCAGTGACACTATATCTGATATATAAAGCATAATTTTTCAATCGCCTCGATCTCACTTTATAAACAAATGACTTTTTCAAATCTGGCTCTCAAATAATTCAGTAAAAAATTTTATGTCCAGTAATTAAAGCTAATCTTTTTCGAAAGAAAAAATTTGTCTCGAGAAGTAGGAGTAATCCTTATGTGAGGTTTTGAATAATAAAAAAGACCCAAGTAGTAGATAAACTGGAGAGAAGGGGTCCAGGTGAGATATACGCTTATTATATTATATATATTACCAACTGAAAGCTGATTAATTTGACCCAACTTCAATTGCAAATACTTCTAGGTACAACTAAACCCAAATTAAGATCAGAGGGAAGAAAGTCGACCTACCTATAGTTCACAACCAAAAGATTGAATCCTAGTGAAGAGAGAAATGCCGAGGACTTTGAGAAGCTTGATATGGACGTAGAGTGTGGACCGCCGTGAAGGTTAACAATAACTGGATTCAACTCATTCCCTTTGACGGACTTGGAAGACACAAAGATAGCTTCAAAAGGTTTGCTAGCACCTGAAAAGAAAGTAACTGAACTAACACTTACCTTTCATCACTTTTTCGAGGGTAAAAATTTCATAGAAGAAGAAACAAAACTCACATGTTTTGATTTGCATTTTATAAGCTCAAGAAATGTTCTATATTTGACCAAAACATTGACAAAAGGAAACCAACATTATCATCAGAGAAGGTCACCAAATATAGGAACATTCCCAGATCATCTATATTTCATGATTAATTCAAATTTTCGTTAAAACATATGGTAGTTAATTGCATCAAGAAAGTTGACAGCAAAATTTTATCTCGCATCTAAATTTTCATGAGAATTGGATTAACTAGCTCATTGACTTGTGTGACTGCTATTTATTTATGAAGTTAAACAGTAAAGGATTGTTATTTTTTAAATTTTGAAGAGAGAAATTTCTATTGAAAAAAATAATGAAGTTCAGTTCTGTTGCACAAACAGCACTGCAACAATTTTGATTATTAAAAATAATGGGGAATGGATTGTTTTGTGTTTACTTCCAGTAGTGAAGAAAGTTTCACCAAAAGCAATGTAATACTAAGAATTTCTCTCATTAGTCTGAGTATGTATAGGCTTCAGGCATAGGTATTCTGAAGATGCATTCATGCAACATTTGGTCTGAATCAAATCTGCACATTGGAAATAAAATGGTAAATAATCATCTGTTCTGTACAGTACCTTTTGTCAGGCAGTTGGAAACATCCTTGACTGGAATCTTCATTATACTGAACTGAAGAGCTGAGAGTAGAGTTTTAACCTGTATCATAAAGTGCCGGTTTACTTAATCAGAACTTTTGGGATAACATTTGTGGTGTTTATAAATGAAAAATTGAACAACCTTCTCAGAGCATTTAAAGACAGGACTTGATACATCTAACCAACTCCATACAGCATTCTTAGTTTCTTTCTCAATAAGACGACCGTACTTGAGTTGAGGAATATCTACTGGGCTGCTAGAAACTGCAGATAGGAACTTCAAAGAAAAAATGTTAAAAATCAGTTCCAGCGAGCAAGCTTATCAGGAAGATCTCATTTCCACATTACCAGCAACAACATTGTCTCCATCTAGAGCGAGAACATTCCACGAAAAGTTTGAGTTGGATGGACTGATGCGTGATACTTCACCACTGAAATGTTCAATAAAAAATATCATCGTATTATACAAATTGGAGCACAGAGATTAGCGTAAGAATTAAAACATAAATTTAAAGCAAATGATAAATTGCCTTAAAATATCTATGGAAAGTATTGCTTCACTGCTATGCCATATGGATGATATAATAACAGTACGTCCGTCAGAAAGCCATGGATTAATCAGGAAACCATGTGAATAGAGGCCAGGAAAGAGGTCGTCCTCAGCCCAGTGCACCACAGGAACCTTCAAAATTAATTTATACAGAAAAGGTTGCCAAGAAAGGCATAAGGAACTTTTGGAAAAAATAACTAGTAAATAAATAAGATAACTTCAAAGCACCAATATGCAGTAAAGCATTCGCCCAGAAATTTGGATGGAAAGAAAGTTTTTGAAGCCGCAAGACCTCACAAGCATTGGGTAGTTTTGAAGCGACAAAACTTAAGTTTCCCAATGGTGTGCTCTCTAGCTTCTCCTTTACAATATATTCGTATGAATGGGGAGGTTTTCATAACTCCGCCTATTGGCTAATATCTTTGGTTCTTACCTTTACTATTTTTCATTTAATTTTCCTGTACTGTTTTCCTTTCCTTTCATTACATGAATGAAAATTTCTTGTTTCCTCTCAAAAGAAAACTAAGCACATTCTATTCAGTAATTAAAACATCATCTGATTTAACACCAATGCTTCTTCCGTAAGAAGCACGGATATAGTGGCACATTCATTCCTAAAAATCTAGAACATGGATATGGACATAGCAAAAATAGTTTATTATAATATACATTTTTTATAGATATATTACTTTTAGACGTTTCAAAGATTCTGATGCTAAAAATTTATTTTACTTCACGAGGCTTAAACATTTATAATCAATGTTTTATGTCAAAATATTTTAGAAAGAACCAAACAACTAAATCAATTTACTAAATGACTTAACATCTTAACAAATAAAGGAAACTTGAAACCAAAATTTTAATTTTTTTCATTCTCAAAATGCTCATAATATTCGACACATGTTTATTATGCTTAACAAGTATTTGATAGATGTGGGGAATAGATGTGGCATGCCCAAATGTTTGTAACATATACAGTGACACCACCCCACAGAAGAAACTAGTTTAAAAGAAATCAATCGGCCAACAGATTTTCACATTAACCAATATTTACAAATAAAAAATACAAAGCTCACCACGTCAACAATATTTTCATTAAAACAAAGTTTTTCGTCGGTAGGCCAGTTGATTCTGTGAAGAGAATTTGTTGCGGAATGGGCTCCAGTGTTCACAGAAGAGTTTGCAGATAAAAATATAAGGAACTTCCCATCTGGGCTGGAAAACATTATCATTCATAATAATCAGTTCCAATCCCGTTGCTCATCTTATGCGTTATTTCATATACATGCAATAGAATAGAGCTTGCATGTTAATTGATGACCCATAAAAACTATTTGCAAAAAATGATCAATGGGAGAAGTATATGCACATCAAATAAAACTATCTAAATTGACTCTTTAAGCATGAAATACCTTCTAAAGTAACAAAGATATAATTATAAGAATGAAAATGATTAAATAGTATACAAGGACCATAAAAACTGTACTCCAAGTTGTGATTTAATATTCATGCTCGCAAGCGTTTATGTAAAGAGGTCTGGAACTAAAAACACATGCAAACAATAGAACAAAATTAGAGTATGAGTCTAGCCTACCCTCAACATACGTTAGAAAATAGCCTGCAGCCACTTATATATATCATCCAAATTTGATAAAGAATTTACAGAAGTTAAAGTTAAAACGTACTGGATTTGCTGTGGAAAAACAAGTTTAGGGAAACAAACACTGGAAGGTAATGAGATAAAATTGTACCTGAACCGAGGAAGGAAGGCACTGCTTATGTTCTGAGTTAGATTATAGAGGGGAAAATCCTCCTTCGATCCATCTCTGGACAACATTGAAATAAATTAGAATGTTCAGATTGAAACGATATTAGTAAAAAATCCATCAAAAAAAATATAAGAGAGAAAGTATAACACACTTGAGTTTATGTTCATCGACTTCTGATCCATAATCCGGGGCCCTAACTGCATATAATGCACAAGGCCGATTATAGCAGTACTTCATACCAAGTTTTCTAGGCTCTGATGACCACCCAGCAAAAACCAAATATTGATGCACGCCTATGGATGGAGCCCATACGACTTGGCCCACACTCAAATATTTCTCGATTAATTTCACATGCCTTACCTCTCCGCTGTTAATGAGAAACGAAAAAGGAATTCTTAACAAAGTTCACAAAATCTAAAATTGTGCCTTATTTTGTCAATATGAATACAGTAACACTTGAACCACACCTGTCAATGTTGATGACAAAGAGAGCAGGCTGCCTTTTACCTGCATAAGCTTCCCCCCATTCTTCCTCAAAATCCCCTTGAGCTTTCCAGTTGGTAGAATCCTTATTTGTTGAGCAACCTTTTTGATATCCAGAAACAGTAAAAGTTGGCTTGGAGGGAGAAGGTTCTTCCGCAATATAAGCAATATAAGTTTCATTAGAGTTCCAAGAGATTCCTTCAAACCTATAACATAGAAAAAAAATAGAGTTTAAATCTTATTGCTTTTTCTTTATGACAGACGCTACAAACTCACCCACCAATAAAATTAGTACATTTTAAAGAACTTCTACCAAGGAGATACAATAAAGAATGCCATTTTTATATTATTTTTTTAGAAGTTTAAGAGAACAAGCATATTAAAATGATTCTTACAAAGTGAACATTAATTTAGCATCAAATTCACAATTCAAAAAATTAATATAACCGACACATTACCATCCATCAGTATATATTGAGCCATGAACAGATTGAGGGATGTGAAACTCCTTTTCGATTTGACCTGCACTCCAAATTTCCAATTTAACTGGAGAATCATTTTCAGAATTACGAACTGTAAGAAGTTTTGAGCCTGATGGCGATGGCACTATTGTAGAGACTCCAATCATTTCAACAGGAAATGGAGCCCATTTAAAGTTCACGGAACTGTCGCCGTTTCCCTTAGAAATATGAGCTGACAAAGTATACTTTCTCCTCTTATTTGATAGAAGACTTGCTTGGCTAATTGAAAACGTTGCCACGGAGTCTCCTATGAAAAATGTCAAGTAAGAATAGAATTAACATCGCCAAGCACATAATTTTATGACAATTATAAACACATGAATAGTAAATGCACCAGCATAAACAACAGCAACCATACCACTGTCAGACTTAAACATCCATGCTTTGTCAATGTTAGGAATTGTTGTGAATTCTTGAAGTAATTTGGACTGCTCAGCATATTCTCCCTCAGTTTCTGGATCAACCCCAGCTGGAAGCTCGTCAACAACGGCACTAATCTTTGAACCATCCATGGCAAAGGAAGTTGACAGTTTTCTACTGCAGCATTAACTGGGGAAAGAATGATGACAGTGCTAAAGGAAATAATATAGTTACATGCAGCAATCAAGATACCTACACACGAAATCGTGGGTTTACCAAATTTTCAGATTCTATGAAATACACGATTTCTTTCTTTCTCTGTCCCTAGTCTTACACGGCATCAATTAATTGCCAACAAATTGTGGCTGCGTTGTATACATATTTTACAAAAACGATTGATTAAAGTAGAATTGAACAGTAAGTTTGTTAAAAGTTGGCATGGTACCGGAGCTTTACCTCCAAGCCCAATAATTGAACTCCTTCCTCACCAAAAGAAAACAAACTCACTATCTAATCATTACACCAATGCTCTAAGCAAACTAAATTGAATTATCATGGTAGCTATGAAATGATAATTCTTTCCAAGTGTCCATCATCTTCTCCACCTACACCAGAATTTGTTCCATTATTCAAAGACAAGCTCGGAATCCATGGTCAGTGCCTCTCCAGCTTGAGGAAGCGTGTAGAAAATAAATAAATAAATAAAAATGAAGTTGTCTAGCAGCGATCAGTAAGAGACACATGCCTAAAATCACCGTGTTTACCAGAATTTCAGATTCTGTACAACCGGCACGTCCGTTTTCAATCTTCATTAAACGATCAAAAGCTGACATACAACTATGATACTTCCAAGTTCCATCTCATTGCATTTACATTAAAATTACACAAAAACTGATCCGTGGAAGTGAAATCGATCTTCATTTTCCCATCCAAACGATCAAAAGCTGACATACAACTATGATACTTCCATTTCATCGCATTTACATTTAAATTAGACAAAAACTGATCAGCGGAGGTGAAATCAATCTTCATTTGCCCATCCAAACGATCAAAAGCTGAAATAAAACTATGATACTCCATTTCATGGCATTTACATTTAAATTAGACAAAAACTGATCAGTGGAAGTGAAATTCCAGTGAAAAATCGTTAAAACTATACCTAATAAATGCAACCAATAACTCAGCGATGGACCGAAGTGTAACCACTGCGAGCAGTAATTAGAGCTAAATATCAACGGAATTCATAGTAGTTACTTGCGTGGATTGAGGTGGATTAAAAAGGCTAACAAAGAGAGCATAAACATTACACGTACGAATTGAAAGCCAGCCAAACGATAAGAATTGAGAGAGAGCTTACGTGAAGAGGGAGGTAGCTCTGAAAAAAGGAGAGCTCCGAGAAGGAGTAGCAGTAGCAGCAATGGCGAAGAGTGGAAGACGAAGTAAGCTGACGCGACCAATGGGAGCGATGCCCGTCAACGCCATTCAGATTGAGCTTCCCGTTCCCTTTCACTTTTTTTTTTAATTAATATTTTATTCTCGAAGAGCCATTCGCAGTGCGTCCATTTTCAATAGGCCCACTACAACCCACTTTCACGGCCCAATTTTAGTTATCGGCCCAAATTTTAAAGCCCAATACTTCGGCCCTATTTGGTTATCTTTTTTTTCTCTCTCTTTTTAACATCAATATGAATGAAAAATAATAGAAATCAAAATGAAAAACTACAGAGTTGGATATGTTGGGCAATAATTTAATGATCGTCAACGTCACCAGAGAAGAAAAACAACCAAAGTCTGAGGTGTAATATTAATCGTAACCAAAGTCTGAGGTGTAATATTAATCGTAAGGCTGATGAATATAGTGTAACTCTAGTGTAACTCTGAACTATGTAAAGGTTGGTTCCAAATATGATAAGAAATTATTGATCAACTCCCCACTCTCCTTGGCGTAGCTAGGCCATCCTGGACTTGAACCAGAGACCTCGCCCGTGAAGTAAATCATTGCACCTACAGTCCCAATTTCAATTCAAAACATGAGTTTGATTCACACTCCATGTTCTGAGAAATATTTATCATCCGAAAAGAGGAAAAGGTTTTACATGAAGAAGATTTGGCTCAGCATGTTCTATTCGATACGGGTAGGAAAAGAACCCAACTCGGTATTATTAAAAAAAATAGAGAAATCAGAAGCCAGTCAAGATGATACGAATCAGCCCCTTCTTCTTGTGCCAAAGATCTTACCATTTCCGAAGGAACTGGTCACTACTATGGGAATGCACGTGGTAATTATTCTCGCAACGTGCAAAATGGTTTAAGAGTGAGTCCCACTTATTTGTGCTTATAAATACAAGGGTAACCTCTGTACGCAAGTCCGCGAATCATATTGCTCATCTTCATACCTATAATTCGGGTTCTTACTAACTTGAACGTTGGAGGGTTCTCAACTCTTTTTACAGGTTCATATCCTTACCCTAAAGAAGTTCAAAGGGCAATTAGAAGTCAACATAAACATAATCAATTTTTAGGTATTGTGTTCCGTGAAATATTTATACTTTTATGTTTATTTCATTTTGGACCCTAGACTTTTAAAATGTCTATTTTAATATCTGAACTTTTAGAATATTACTGTTTTGGTCCCTCTAACTTTAAAAAACAAATCATTTTGATCTTTATTATATTATTTTGTCACCTAAAATTTACTTACCCAATACTTAGTTTCGATTTGTGTGGTTTGAATATAGGTGATATAACATGTTAGTATACATATTCGAAGTTGTGTTCTAAATTAGTTAAAAACAAAATAAAAGGAAGAATCAAAATAATTGAGAGACTAAAATATACCCTATGAAAGTTCAGAGACTAAAACGATCATTTTTTCTAATTCAATGATTAAAATATACGCTTTGAAAATGTAGGATCAAAATATGATTACCGAAATGAAATTTAAATTTTTTGCAAGTCAATGTCCATAATTAGTAAATTGGAATTTAAAGAAATTTAAGAATTCTAAAGTTTTGGCCCCAAAAAGCACCAACAAGAGACAGCTATAGAAGTGCAATCAATTGCATTCAAAAGTAAGGTCGCTGGAATCAATCAAAATGCCTCTCAAGTCATTTCGGTTCCCAACATTCACCCTCCTAAGTCGTGATGGAAGAATTTTGTGGATTAATTTCCATATTTCAATATGATGATTGCTTTTTTCTTTTTTTAATGTGAACTCCACTTTATTTCAAATATATTTCTTTAAAGGAAGGTTACTATGTTATTTTCTTGTCTTAACTGAATCTGATTCATTTACTATAATAAAATTTGTTCAAGATGAAATCTCAACTTTAATAAAACTTTATTGAGTTGGTTGGCAATAGAGAGACTAGCCCTAACTTTTCCGCTCATATTTCTCGTGTTAGCAATAAACCTATTGACTTGTTGGCCCAATAGGGGCTTAATTATTCTACAATGTGTTTGTGGCTTATCCAAGTTTTAGAGAATGACATCCTATCAATTGTAGCTTATGTGTATCTCATTCTTAATACAAGTTCTTCTTCTTTGAAAAAGAAATTATAAATTTTTACTATGTTACAGGACACACGCTTCATCCTTCCCATTGTCTTAGGCAAATTGAAATTAGAAAAAAACAAACAAACAAATTTTGCAAGTTTAATTTTTGACAATTCTCAACGGTGTCTGCTTTGAAGCATTAATTTCACTCACATTAAAGTTAAATCGATTATTTAATTGCAATTTAGTCACTCAATCTTTCATTTCAATTTGCTTTCTACATATTGGTAGAAGTTCGAACAAAGTATTAAATCTTTTGGCAAAAAAAAAAAAAAAATCCTCCCCCATTGTTTTCTCATATGAGACTCTACTCTTTGTTGGTTCGAAACCATTATAGAGGATGATAGGCTTTCAATGGTAACTCAATCGACAGATTCAAATAATAGTATTTACCTCTTTAGCCTTAAAAAAATATATATTATAAAAGATCAGATTTAACTTGTTTGTGTTAGCAAGAATTAAGAAGTAAAAAATTTATTTGATATTATGTATAAGAATCTTGCGTTTTATATGAGATTAAACCCAAGTATAATTTTTATAAAAATTGTACAAAATAAATCTATACTTACTAAAACTGTGATCACCTAAACATAAAGATATTTGTTTGTAAAAGTAAAAAAATATATCGTTATGTGTTTGGATTTATTACTATTATCGTTTTAAAAATAATGTGAGAACTTAAAAAGACAAATATTTAATATGCTACACGACGTGAATTTATTCAATAACTCAGGTTCATCATTCAATAATATATTATTGCTCAATATATTTTTCTCTTTTTCCATCCATTTATATTTAAAGTATTTATCTAGATCAAAACTTTTAAATACCAATGTTGACAAAAATTGTCCAAAGTCTTAATTTTAGGAAAATATTAAAGAAAATTTCAAAATATTAGACAAATATATATGAAAATATCATAAAATAATAAATTAAATTTTATATTACTAATAATATGTTGATATTTTTTCGACTACTCTTCAAATAAAAGAGATAGAAAAAGTGATTTTATATTCAATTATCTACCGCAACTAAACATTCATCATCATTCAAATTGATAGTTTCCCCGAATAAAACTGCCTATAAAATTTATTTACATAAGAATACTCTAAATTGAATGAATTTAGTAAATATCTACGTAAATTTTAAAAACAACCCAGTGAAATTTTGCCTAAATATAAGGGGACTTCGGTGGGCGATTCTATAACCGCAGGCAGCTCAGACCCGACAACATGATGGCCGCGCACGAGACCACTTCGATGTTGAGTCGGGAATATTGGAGGATTGTTTGGTTGGTACATCTCACCATTTACATAAGGTTTCGTATATGTATAAGTCCTTCGTACTTTGCAAATCATCAAGTCCCAATTATATAATATTATTCCATAATAATTCTACAAAAGTTATAACATATATATTAATAGATGAAACTAAAATGTATTACTTGAACACGTCGAATAACTTTTTTGAACTGGAATTAAATTTTAAATCAATTAAAAAAACATAACAACTATCCGGATTTGGTCCATTAGTAGTAGAGCTTAACAATATCAACCCATTAATATGATGATCTGCTTTATTTTTATAATTCATATATAAACACATCAATTATGTTACTTTCCTTTTTCTTTTTATTTATTTATTTTTGAAACATTTCTTTCTCTAGAACGGTACGATTTAGAAATTCAGAAATAAAATTAATCAAAACTGACAGTTGATTTCTTCTTCTCGAGTCGAAGCTTACCATATTCAAAGGTTAAACAAACCCTAAAATAAAATAATATTATTCAAAACCGACACCGTAATGCTGAAGAAAACATTATTTTATTTTTCAGACGAGCAATCTTCATTTTCAATACAAGTATTAATTACAATTTCATCAGCAAAACTCCCCAAAAAAAAAAGAAGTAATCTTAATATATCATCCACACACCCTACGTGTTACATAAATCCAAAACTTTACCAGAAAAAAAAAATTGATGAAGTTTCATTTTCATCGGATATTATATTTCTGTCAAACTTCAGTAACCATAAAAGGGAAAAAAAAAAAAAAGAAAGTATTTACTACGGCCAGACTTTTCTTCGACTTCTCCTGATTTCCGTCACCGGACGTTTTTTCCGACGGATCAGAGATCCCGTCGCAGAGATTTTCTTTTCCGAGACCCCAAACAGAAAATCTGCATTTTCTCGAGAAAATCTTTTCCATCTTCTCAAATCTTCGTTGTGATTACAGTCTCTCAAACGCCACAGCTCAATCCCCCGACGTCTGATCCTCTCATGATTCTCAACCTCTTGCACGACAAAATGAACATTCTGCACAGCATAAAATTTGACTTTTTAAAATTATATTTCGAAGATCCAACGGTATAATAAAACCAGAGAGAAATATGAGAACTTACTGCCATGGAACATCGCCAACCAGCATCCAATCTCCATCTTTGTCTTCATAAGTTGGGGCAAATTCAGACCCCTTATAGCCTTCCCTCTCAGAGTACTGACCTGCAAAAAACCAACACCAAAAACCCAATTTTCATTAAACACCAAATAATTAAACAGAGCAAGAAAATTTCAAAATTTCAAAATTAAAATTTTTTCTTACCGATGGTGAACTTGAACATGTCCTCCAAGGCCTTGAGAAGTTCCGGGTAGCCCTTGTAAACCCCCAAATCGATTTTCCTCAAATAAGGAGCTCCATCCATGCTCACTTTCACAAAACTCCCGCCGCCCTCCGCCGTCGCCGCCGCCTCCGTCTTCTTCGCCTGAAGAGTGTTTTTCCGGAAAGATCTAATCGGCGGCCACCCCACTACCTGAGCTCTGCCAAAGCCCACATCGAAAATCACAAAATTGAGAAAACCCAATCAACAGAAACCAAATTAAACGAAACCCAGATTAGGAAAACGGAAGGAGCAGCGGCACTTACTTGGGCGGCGGAGCAGAGTCGTTCTGAAAATTCCGCTTATTGGTTCTGACCCCAGAAGAATTCTCCCCAGAATCGCGTCTCTCGTCCGCGATTGATCCCGGCAGGCCCAGCCGGAGCTCCGTCGCTTCAAGATTCAGGCCACTCTCGAATCCGATCTTCGCTTCCATTTCTCCGAAACAGAGGATTTTTGGGATGATTTGTTTCGTTGTTGTGGGAATTGGGATGGTATTTTCTTTTTCTTTATAGATAAGGAAATTGGAAGGGGGCATGAATTAAGGGGAAAGGAAAGGGGAAAGGGGGGCATTGTCGGTAGAAATAGGAGCAGAGGAGGGGCAGGGGACAGGGGAGGGACAGGGGCAGCCGCCCATATGGAAGGGGATTTAGTGGGACGGTCAAGATGCGTTTTAGTGGGTGTGGGAACGCAAATCTGGAGCGTAGATATTGAGGGTAAGGAGACGGGGAAGCACCGCCATGTGAAGTGGGGGCCGCCATTGATATGAGCTTTGAGGTTTTTAATGGCTGTTGAGTTGAGTGTGGGGGAGGGGAGCCTTCTCCTCAGTCTTCTCTAACGAATTGCACTAATTTAATTGTTATTTTGTTGGGGTTCTTTTTTTAATTTCTTTGAGGATATTAAGTGGAGTTGATTACACGCATGTCGTTTCTCTTTAAGCTTTAGTTCCTTAAGTTTTAAATCGACTCGTTTAAAGTGTGGTTAGTGATCTAAATTCAATGAAAACAAGAATTATATTCTATGTATTCGCTTTTTTTTAAGTATATATTTGATGACAGATTCAAAATTCAATATGAATTTGAGGATTTGTGGAATATATAATAACATATTCTTAACCATGAAAATAAAATAGGATACATAATTATGGATTTAAAAGTTTATAAATAAAAATATTATCATATTTTGAATTACATAATAAAAAATATAATAAAACTTAGAGTATGATATATTTTTTTTATTTTATCAAAAATAAAATAAAATTATGTAGAAATTTATATCAAAATTTATTTAAATAAAATAAGATTCAATAAACTTTTAGTGAACAAAAGTAAAAAAAAAAACTTTTATTAAAAAATTAAAAATATAACATCGAAAAACAAACAAATTTTTGGAAATCTTAGATGGCGTTTTGAAAACACGGAAAACGACTTTTTTACATTTTCAAAAATTTTACTCAGATTTTATATCCTAATTTTTCTGACCAAATGCATTTTCTTTGTATCCCGTGTTTTTAATATTTTTTAAAACATGAAATTGTTTCTGAATCTTATACCAAACACTCCCTTAGTTACTTAATGTTCTATTTTGTTTTTGTTTGTTTACTATTGTGCTAAAAAAATATAACAACAACATCTTAATTAATATGAGATTGTTATTAATGAGACTAAAAGTAAGGTCATATGAATTTAGGTTGGAAGACAATAATATCATACTATGCAAAAATGCAGAGAGATCGTATATGTCAATCGTATATGTCAAGAAAGATTAGATAGAGATTAATATGTCTATAGAAAATAAATTCGGGAGAAAATATGTCTACCCTGTATTAATAGACTCATGTGAAAATATTTGAATAAGAGAGAATTTTGAAATGATGAAATTAGTTAACATAGAAATAATTCAACGGTAATTGACATATACGTCTTCTCTTGAAGTTAGAGGTTACACTTCTATACTCTCGTGTAAGAGTATTAAAGAAAGATGTTATGCTAGAATATCGAATTTAAAAAAAAAAAACTTTGTCGTAAATAAAAAGATTAACATGACCAAGCAATCACCAATACAATATTCATGCTTAATTTAGGGAAACAAACATTATAAAATATAATTATTGGGTATTCCCTTAAAAAAGTTGTTATTGTTTCTAGAAGAAGCTAAATTGTAATTAAATCTGAAAGAAAGAAAATGATGCAGTTGACTAAGTCAATCCAATGTGGAGTTGACCTACTGAGGGTTAACGTTGAAAAATTTGGAGAATGTAATTTAATTAAGTTTGAAATCGTATTTTATAATTATAGGTTTATTTTCATCGCTATATTTTTAAAATATCTATTTTGTTCTTTATATTTTAAATTTTTGTTAAAATTTTGAATCTTGTACTTTTAAAGCATTTGTTATGGTTCCTTACTTTTAAAAAGCTTTCTTTTTTTTTTTTATTTGTTCATTTTCATTCCTGTCTTATTTCTTTTCAATCAAAATTGTAGCGTGACATTTAGCTTACTAAATTTTTTAAAACGTAACAATAAATTTTTATTAGAGGGTTTCTATTATATATAAAATTTGTGTAAATTTTATCATGACATTTAACTCACTAAATTTCTTGAAATCCGTACCATAAGTTTGAGGTTTTCTATTATATATAAAATTTGTGCTAAAAAGTTACAAATAAGGATCGAAATGATCACTTTTTAGGAAGTACAACGATGAAAACAAATATGTTGAAAGTACATAGATTAAAATGAACAAAAATGGAAACTACACAAATAAGGATAGACATTTTAGAAGTATAGATGGCAATTAAAATGAGTGTTTGGGAGTGATTTTGGCATGATCAAAATCATTTTTGCTATTGTTAAAATCACTTCTCTTTCTATTAATTTAATGATGTTTGGCAAATTAGAATACTGATTTAGGAAAGCTTAAAATCAATTATACCAAAATTTCTTTTTCTAAAATCACTAATTTTTACCATCACTCCCAAACACACCCTGAATCAAAGTCAATTGTACAATATCGAAATAATATTTAAACCTTAATTAAAGTAGGAAAGAAATTAAGTTTGGGAATATGAGAAATTAGAAATTGGAGAAGTGTGTGGCCATGAAGTTGGCAGCGCCTACAAATAATATTTAGGTGCTAATTAGTGAATGCATATTTTTAGAGTGACAAGAACTAATTTTTTTAAGAAAAAGATGATCTATTTTTTCATTTTTATCTCTTATTGTCAATTTTTCAATTGTGGTCAGCATAAGATATGTACTCATATGTTAGCACAAGATAACTATGTATGATTGTATAACATTTGTATAGGTAAATGTTAGTAGATTTTCGTGGGAATAAGTCATATCTATGTTTAGTTTTGCTTGAAAAATCTTATCAAATTTGCATATAAACAAGTAATTTTTAATCAAAATTAACTTTCAACAATTAATTTACCTTATAGTTTAAATAATTAATTGTTATTGGCTAATTTATTTTTGTTAAAATAATTTTAAGCAATTAGATTTTAATTTCCAAATGTGTGAAGGAGAAAACAAACCCCACGAGGACGAGCCAACCACAGGCCCACGGCAGGGCCCATGCCTGTGCCCGTGCGCCTCTCCCATCTCATCTTCCCTTCTTCCTTTTCAATGTTTCTTGCCCCTTTAATTGCTCACTCCCTCTCTTTTATCTTTAAATTATAAATTTAGTCCCTACAAGTTTAGAACTTTCAATTTAGTCCTTATATAATTTGGTCAAAATTTTACAAATCGTCCCTACCGTTACCAACCTGACACGCACATACATACTCACGCGTTGAATTGGTATTTTCTATTTGGTTGATTGTGTTGGTTTATTATACTACTATAGTTTAAGGTGAGTAAAAAATAGAAAAAAAGGAGTGAGTTTTTTTATGGACAGAAAAATCATAAGAAACAAATTGAAAATATAGAGATCAAATTTGTAATTTGTAAATTGAAATTTGTTATATCTAAAATATTTTATTAGAGATGTCGTTGTTGTTCTTAATTCTAGCTTATGTGAGATTATGTTCACATCAAAGAGATGAAACCATTTTTCACATTTTTATTATTTTCTTCCTCTATCAAATTTACTTCGAGAAAAAAAAGAACACAGACAAAGAGATAATGATTCGAACACAACTTTATTAAATTGACAAAATATTTAAAAAATGGTAGTTTTTGTGGCGGTCTTTTCTCACATAATTGAAAGACAATAGATATATGTCAATTATGGCTGAGTTATGCTCGTTTTGACAATTAAACACATAATTATTTTTGTTATTTTCGACTTTAAAATCACCTCAATGGAAAAAAGAGAGAGAATTTCTACCCACTAATTTTGCA